GAAAGATTAAAAACAACGATTTGGTTTTACGTTCCGTAATCAATACTTCTATTAAGTAGGTGAGGAAAAACTAGTACTTCATTCGTTACAATTTGTTTAGTATATATTTATTTTTGATTGGTTGAAAAATTAATATTTTTTCCTTTTCAATAACTTTTTTAATTTAGTTATTCATATAACATGTTGAAGATCAAAATATTAAAAGATATTTAGTACATTTGACAAGTTTTAAATTTAAATTCATAAGATTCAATTTTTTTTACCTTTTTTTATCTTCGTGTCAAATTATGATACAAAGGAAATAGTTATTACTCTGATCTCTTTGTTCATTTTTATTTGTCCATTATTTCAGAAATAAATTTTCATTTTTACTTGTCATTTTTAATATATCAAAGAAACACAAAAAAATAATACTCATATTTTACCTTTAGCATTAATTACTCATTCACCAATTGTTTTTCAAAACATAATAATAAACATTACTCCCTCTATCGCTAATTATTTGTCCACTTTTCATTTTTTAATTGTTCTTAATTACTTGTCCACTTTGACAAATAAAAAAAACTTATTATACCCTCATTTAATTAATTTGCAAAAGGTAAAACTTTTTGAAAATCTTAAATTTTTAATTCATCAACTTCATAATTAATAAAGGTAAATTGGTAAACTCATTATGTCAATCATTATTTTTTTAATAGATGTATCAATTTAAAAATAGATAAATAATTAGAAACGAAGGGAGTAATTAACAGATATTGAGTGATAAAATAATCACATCAATTTTATTTCTTTTAATAAAGGTATCAAGATTAAATATTATAACAAATAAAAAGGAGGAGAAGGAATATGACTTTGGTTCGATCAAATTAAATAATTCTAATTAAATTTAATATTTCTTTTACAATTTTATTAATGATATATAAATTAATAATTTTAAATTTATAAACTTCAAATAGCAAAGAGTACCGCAATTATCCGTGAAGTGGAACATGAGCACGTGGCATTGAGCTGGTAAAAATTGGACTTTGTGCCCTGCTGCAATATTTACAATGTCCAACATAATATATTGTTCTTTTCCCTTGGAATTTGAAGTACGTATGGGAGTTTGATTAAGGGTGTGTTTGGTATGAAGGAAAATGTTTTTCTGAAAAATAAGTTGATTTTTGACTTATTTTCTCATGTTTGGTTAGTGATTAGAAAATATTTTTCAGAAAAGATTTTTAGTGTTTGATTTATAAATGAAAAATATTTTTGAGAAATATCTTTTATTTTTACTAGAGTAGAAAATAATTTTTGAAATTGAAAATATTTTTTAAAAACAAATTTAAATTTTTTTTGGGTGGAGGGTGGGGGGCTGGTAGGGGAGTGCGTGGGTTGGGGGTCGAGGGTAGGGTTGAAAAAATGAAATTTTGAAATTGAAAATATTTTTTAAAAACAAACT